AAAAAATGTCATATATACTGATCTGAAAGCCGCATTCGGCAAAATCGACCAGAAGGTTTTGTAATGCAAGCTTTCCCGACTAGGAGCGTCTGAGCAACTTAGGTCGTGGTTACATTCCTACTTGACTGGACGAACTCTTCGAGTACAACTAGGACCGTGTGTCTCTTCTACGTTTACCAGCACCTCTGGAGTACCTCAGGGAAGTAACCTGGGTTCACTTTTGTTTACGATATTCTTAAATGCAAGCTCGTTTATGCAGATGATCTTAAGCTATACGTCATAGTTCACTCGATTGAGGATTGTCATCGTCTTCAAGCTCTGCTAGATTTGTTTGTGGATTGGTGCCGTCGCAATAAACTCATCATCAGCGTTCCAAAGTGTGCAGTGATGACATTTCACCGCTCTAAGAGTTCAATCCTTTACGACTACTGCATTGACAATGTAACGCTTCGCAGAGTAGAACGTATGACTGATCTTGGTGTTCTTTTGGACCCAAAGTTGACCTTCAATCTAAGGCGAATCGTCAACTGGGATTTATTTCAAAGATTGCACGAGATTTCAAAGACCCTCACTGCTTGAAGGCACTATATTGCTCTTTAGTTCGGCCCATACTTGAGAATGCATCTGTGATCTGGTATGGAATCTCCGAATAGAACGTGTTCAGAAATTATTTTTTTTAGGTTGGCTTTGCTTAGCTTGCCGTGGCGCGATTCAATGAATTTACCACCTTATGCAGACCGAAGCATGCTATTGGACCTGGGCACATTGGAACACAGAAGAAAAATGCAACAAGCCTTATTTGTAGCGAAACTTTTAAATGGCGATGTGGACTGCCCTCAACTGCTTTCACAATTAGACTTCCGTGTTCCTCAAAGGATGTTGCGGCAATCATCCTTACTACAATCAAGATTCCATCGGACTGCATATGGATACTATGACCAATGTATGCGATAATTCGGGCATTCTCCGCTGTGGAAGAAGCATTTGAATTCGGATAAACATCAACCAATTTCGAAACCGATTGAGAAGATTGTGATTATTTTGTAATCTGTTTATCTGTTGTTTTTTTGTGTAGGGGACATGGCTCTAATGTTGGCCTATGGATCTAAGATTGGGCCCATCGCTAAAAATCTGCTATTTATCAATTGTATCCAGATGAACGCGTCATTGGGACGGTACTAATGGATATTTTTGGTTGCTATTGAAAATTTAGTCGATTGCTGAATTTATGTATGGGTCCAAATTAGGGACACTTAGGCCGACATTACATACATTTCCCCCTATTATCTAAGTTTTGTTCATTAAGACAACTACTGTCAGATTTTGCATGAAGCCGGTCAGATTTTGCATGAAGCCGGTCGAAATTTCGAAAGGCGTAGTAGGCTCTGCCTTTGAACCAGTTTGACGTGCATTTTCTTTGCTGTGATTTTTTCGGAGGAACGTTTTCGGCATATTTTTAAAATAGTATAAAAAACCAATCTGATTGTGATTTCTAAAGTTATTCAAGTTTGGGGTTGTCTTTCCGTGACTCTCAACAATACCCGTGTCAGAAGTTTTTTCAGAGCTTCAGAGGGCAGCAGCTCCGAAAACAAACTCCTCCAGTGAACCCCCGACGTTATTTCGTTTGCGACGACGTCACGGAGAAGCGAACCACAAGGGCTGATCCTGGGGACTCTTTTATGTCGTTTTCGTTTTTACTACACTACACCGGTGTAGTGTAAGCAGCAATAAGCACGAGTCACTGACAGTTCATCATCATTTGTTTGTTAACAAAGGTGCAACCGATAGCTACACCCTAAAATTTTTCGGTGTTCGGCGGTGTAGCACCGGTGTAGCTACACCGCAAAAACGAAAACGACATTAGTGATATTTCATATTAGCTGAACCTGATCTGGATGATCAAAATGTGAAAATTACAAAAAGATAACAGATACAGGACTACAGGAAATTCTCCCTGAAGAAAAGGAATCACCAGGATCAAGATGTATTCAAGGAGAGGCAACATGTTAATTCTGTTGAATAATATCAGGTGGATATCATCCTGATTCAAGCAAGAAAGGTGGACCATGAAAGTACCAGTAGCGCCATGCAATTTCATTCTGTTGACATTGCTCATGGATTCATTTGGTGAGTTCGTTCCTACTTATTAACACTTGTGATTATGATGTTCAACAGTGTTGAATGGCCACAAACAACTGCAGAATCTGGTGAGAGCTTACCATTTATTTACCATTATTTATAAATATTTGTACAGTAGTCGTTTGATTTAGGTACGGTTCGATTTTAGCAACAAAATCATGTCGTTTTTGGCACGGGGTTTAATTTTGACCAAATGCCAAGATTGAACGAAACTTGAAAATAGTGTGTTTTTGCTCCTTGTGATTACAATTTTAATAAAAAATTATTATTAGTAATGTCTTTATCATGGCGATGCAGTGGTCCGAAGTCAACTAAATCATAAATTGAATTTCAAAATAAGATCGTTCGATTTTGGCAACACAAAATTTTCGGGCTTGCTGCCAAAATTGAACGGGTACAATTTAACTGCAAAGGAATAGGTAGATTAAAAGTTTGTTAATAAACGTTTTATAATCTTGTACGCGAAAACCCAACGCTCTTACCCATTCCTTTTAGTGATTCCTCGTGGAAGTGCAGAGGATTTCTCGGCTTCCATCAAAGCGAGTGTCACGTCAACACATTTCTACTCATTCCTTTCTTGACCTGCGTTAGTACGCGGCCGGTGCTGGTATTGCCCAGTTTGAGATCACCAGTTTTTACAAATTGATGATGATTGCTAGTCCCAACCAGCAGGATTTTCCAGTAATCAAAGGATCACATTTTAGTCCTTGTTACTTTTTATGACTTGATAATAGTGACAAGACTCGAATAGTGACCACCGCGCCGTTCTGCATTTCTATATTGTATATTTCAAATGAAAAATATTGTTTATGTTCATAGATTTCACATAATCCTTTTCCCTTTGTCCTTCTCCTTTTCCTTTCCCTCTTCTCTTTTCAGAAAGCGAGTAATAGCGCTATATCCATAAGTCATAAAAGGCTAGGACAAGAGCTAGTGCTTATGCCCCAACCGTCAGAAGAAAATGGAGCATCATTTAACCTTTCTAGCTTTGATGCTTCCAAGGACCAACCAATCATATAATTACCAAAATCGGAACGTGCGGTACGAGATGTCCACGTTTCATCCATTTATTGGATTCTGAAGCATCGATGTTTTCTGAATCATCTTGCCCCTTAAATGCTGCACAGTTGGCCTGGCCGTTTTGATATGTGTGACGCATCTTCGATGTGAAACATATATCAAATAGACAAGAAAAATTATTTAGGTATATATATCATTTTCCAGGATGCTTTCATGAACTAGCTATGTTGGTGTTAGATTAGATTAGCTTAGAGAAGACAACTATGATGAATTACAATAAATAAATAAATTATAACCTGATATTCAGTCAATACAAGAGTATTTTGGAGCTTTGCGTAGCCCTCCGAATACGTTTAGTCTGTCGTGACATACAACACCAAAATATGTCTTACAATGATGTGATATGTAGCTCTACAGATTCGTATGATCAACGTAACATCGTAGAAGAAATTGTTGAACCTAAAGAACTTCAATATTTGAACTCCTGAATTTTTTTCACAACGTATGATATGTTGTTTGTACAAATGTTCTAAATCAATGTGAAGCTCTATGGATTACTAAAGTACATCTAAACATCATGGATGAGTTAATGAGCCTGGTAGAATTCAAAATCTGATCTCCACGTGGTTTGGAGAATCTTACGTATTTTGCTTATACAACTTATGTCACGCATATTGTGATAAGGTCATAGAACTGCATAGATTCCGAGAATATATGAAAATCGGAATTTCCGGAAAACATAGAGTTCCTGGAGTCCCGGAAATTCCAAGAGTTTCGGACAAGGTTGCAAATACTCATTTCAGCTAAAATAATGTTTTTCGGAATAATAAAACCAAAAGATGGTATGATGGCATGTTTTACTTGTAACTTACAAGAAGAGGTTACAAAGTATGCGTTTGAAACATAAAACCTGTAAATTTTGCTTTCTATGAGTCACAATCAGCGATTTGCTGATCGCTGAGTGAGTGAGTGAGTGAGTGAGTGAGTTTGTGAAAAATCGCTGATTATGACTCTCATGAAGTAAAATAAACAGGTTTAATGTGTCAAAAACATTCTTTGCAACCTCTTCTTGTATCCTACAAATTCAAAATATGATCATGGCATCTAATTATTTCATAATTTAAAAAAAAACATGGTTTTAGCTGAAATGAGTATTTGCAACCTTGGTTTCGAATATGGGTTGAACTTTCTGAACTGGAGAGTTCTGAAAGTTTTGACAGTTTTCGAAGATCATGGAATTAAGACAGCATCCAGCACTAATTAGACACCCCAATCTCCTCCCAGAGATCGGCTAACGGCACTGGAGAAAATACTGATATATGTCAAACAAATTTATATATGATGCAAAAACAACACTTTAATAGGACGAAAACACAAAACACAAAAAAACTATTGAAACAGAAGAACAGCATTCATGATTCATCTCATCTGCACATACCGGTAACACTTAGTACCGTAATTATCAATGACTAAACACGGAGCTAGCACCACATATAGTAAAAGCAGAAATGTGTGAAATTCAAGCAAATTGCACCTTATATACACGGGATGAGAATAGAACAATGACAAACACTGGAAAATTTTGCTATATACAACGAACAATAAAACTAATTGATCCTCGAACTGTGTGAAATGTAAAGATTTAGAATTCAAACACTAAATTTCGTTTCGGTGTGTGCAATGGTAGCCAATCTGCAGAAAATTTCATCTTTTCGCTAACCGGATGTTTTGTAAAATAGAATCGAACCGAAAATCAAAGATCCAAAAAGATAAGTAAATTTAAAAATGTGTGTGCTGGAGTGAGGGTAGGAAGAACACGATCATCCGAAACGATCACTTACGTGTGTAACGCATCTGCGACTGATAGTACTTGACAACACCACTACTGCTGCACGACTGCTGGGTTTGGCTCAGAAGGTTGGTGTCAGTCGGCAGATTGGTATCGTCTGTTCCGCCTGCCACCGGGCGTTGAGGAGAAGGATAGGCGGTGGTGGATGGCGGGTGGTACGGTGTGGGAGAATACGATCCACCCCGCCACGTGTGTTGGTGTGTGTATTCAACGGTGGTTGTTGTTATTATGGCATAGTTGGGATTAGGTGGCGTTACAGTCGGAGGTTCCAAGCCGGTGTGTGCGGTTTTCCGAGTTCGGGTTGCAGTCCGGATCACATTACAGTCCGTCCAGGGGACGCGCGAGCGCGGTCGTTCGTTAAATCCGATTTAATGGCGTTTCGTTTTGCAGAAGGTTTTCCCGAAACAATTGATCATTTACAATTTTTACGGATATTTACAACCGTGAATGATGATCAACGACACACACACCCAGCGTGGTAAACATAAGCACAAGATAACCGAAAAGAAACACATCACATCACAGAGGAAAGCGGAAAGAGTCAAAGTACACGTGGGAGAAAGAAAGAAAGAGAACGTGTTAATTGCGGTGTAGGGTTTTTCGGTGGAGACGTTGATTCAATTAAGTCATACATTCCCTGCTGGTAGGTATGATTTACTACACACACTCTATTAGTGTTGCGGTGGTTGTTATTGTTTGTTGCTATTATAGTTCGGTACGGTGCTGCTGTCGGCCTGGCACTATTCGTGTGGTTTCGTTTTGGGCAGTCAGGTCGGCGTGGTGATGTCGTTAATGCACTTTTTCACGCCCACGCCCGGTGGGTGACAGATTTACGATTATGTTAGGGAAGTGATGAAAAATTCAAAACACGAACATGGTTTGACATTAATTGAATTCAATAGATGGTGGTTCCGGTGTTCACTTGAACGTGATGGGAAAATTGTATGTGCCTAGCCTAGCCGTGACATTTTCAGAAAATCACATTTACTACTTTCACAACAGTGTTGTAAAATATCATGAGAATTATCATGTGTTTTTAGTCGTAATCAGAAGATTTGAAAGATTTTACAAAACACTGAATATCATTAAGATCACAGTAGACTGCACGTGCGAAAGAATATGACGTTCGATTTTTTTTTTCTCGGAGTTGTTTATGCTTATTTGGTTATTAATCCGATTAACATTTTCGAAGATGGCCAAGAACACGATTATCCGTTTCAAAAGGAATCAAACCATCTATGCAGAAAAGCCCTGTGAGAACTGCATCCCATCCCCACGGGATACTGGCTGTACTGATTGTGATTTGCCGCTGACATACGGTTTCGAAAACGAAGAGGAACCTTTATTGGATTGGAACCAAGAAATTGCAAGTTGCTACACCTGATACTTGGCTACCTTCACTCGGATCCAGCAATCAACTACAGCCGATTATCTTTTATCCCAAGCCGGAGGATCACTACATTTGGACACTTCAAACTGGTTCTACATAGGACGGGACTAGTTTATGTTGATCCCCATCAAGCGAACCGTCTTTGATTGGAACTACAATGCAAAAATAGCACGGATGCTTCCTGTGGATTCATTTGGACTAAATTTAAATGATTCTCTTAAATTTGTCAAATTCTTAATGGAGTTTTCTCCACTCATCCCATTTTGTGTGTCTTTGAAATCATCATTGAAAGCCAAATGGATTGTCTGCACATTTTTGAGCATGAGGTGGGACATTACTGTAAATCAGTTAAAACATTAAATTATATACTGGGTTGGGGGGGTGGGTAGCCTAAGGGAATCAAAGGATTTGTTGACTGGACGAGGGTTCATGGATTTGCCAGTCCCTTGTCACGTGATTACACATGGCCATCTGGTCGTTTTGTCCAAAGGTATTCAATGAAGCTGATTCACCCTGCTGCAACAAACCATCAGGCAGAACTTTACAACCGGTAAAGTATCCGTAGACATTGGTAAATCATTAGGATAAAAGTGTTTATGATTTTTACGGTTTCAATTTATAGTTAAAAGCATAATCATTGGACATGACATATATGGGGATTTGTTTTATTATCGAAGTGCTCTTAGCGAATCCATTTAAGGCTTGTACTCGAAAAAAATGCACAATTTTTATCCGTGTTTAACTTTTTTATCCGTGGGTAAAAATTTACGAAAATCTGGGTATAACTAGTTTGGAGTGAATTGTTTACATGTGCAAAATTTCATAACAATCGGTTCAGTGGTTATTTAGATATAATCGAAACAAGAAGAAAATCGCCGGAGAATTTTGCGCGCCGTCATGGAAAATCCGACTGCGACCATGAGATGGATCGGAAGACAACTAGGAATCACCCATACAACTGTGTCTCGGGTAGTAAAATCGTTTTAGGAGTCCCAGACGACCGAGCGGCGGGCCGGAAGTGGAAGAAAATTGAAGACAGCTGACCCTGTGAAGGCCCGGAAGGTGTTGGATTATTTCAAGCGTAATCCGAACTTTTCGATTCGCGACGTGGCTCTGAAGGCAAAGTGTTCCGCCTGGTTCGTTCAGCAAACCATGACACGAGCTGGGCTTCGTGTAGGAAGGCACCGAACCGGCGTGATCAACAAAACACGGCGGCCAAATCCCGCGCAAGGAAGCTGTATCGAGAGTGGTTAACGAAACCGATGTGTGTGGTTATGGATGACGAAACCTACATCAAGGCAAACGCAAAGCAGATACCGGGGCTGGAGTACTACGTTGCCAAATCACGGTTTGAAGTTCCGGAGGGCATGAGGAAGAAGAAAATGGACAAATTCCCCAAAAAATACTTGCTCTGGCAGGCCATATGCTAATGCGGTAAACTGAGTAAACCGTACATCACAATGGGTACCACCAATTGCGAAATTTACCGCACCGAGTGCCTCCAGAAGCGTCTGTTGCCCTTCTTGCGGTCCCACGGAGGCGAGACTTTATTTTGGCCGGACCTGGCATTATGCCATTACGCGCGATCGACGTTGGATTGGTACAGAGACAATAACGTTGTTTTTGTACCAAAAACCGCCAACCCCCCAAATTCACCAGATATTCGTCCGGTGGAAAGATTTTGGGCCATAATGAAGGCCAAAGTTCAAAAATCGTCCAAGGTGCTTAAGAACGAGCTGGAGTTGAAGAAAGAATGGATGAAAGTGACCAAAAAGGTCGGCTCCACCATTGCACAAAATTTAATGAAGGGTCTTAAGGGAAAGGTGCGGGCTTTCAGTGATGGAATGGAAATTGAATAAAGTAATTATGCCGAAACATAATCCATATGTATTAGTTCATTCCCTGAAAGTTTCAAGAAAATCCGACTTAATATAAAGTTTTGACGAACACTTTTGTCTGGTGCATTTTTTTTGAGTTACCTTGGAATTTTCTCTAAAACTATTTATTCGGAATATTGTTTAGAAAAGGACCAGGAATCCTTTCCACAGTCTTCATGCACACTAATCTAGACCTACGCCTAGTCGGCAATGTTTGAACTACAGAACTATTCGGTAGCGATCATGACCACCGTAATGAATATCATCGCCAAAATTGAATGTCACATATCGTACTTAGCTTCCAACCCTCCGGCCGAGAATAAGTATGGATCAGTAAAAGAACGATTGATCGACCGTTGTGCTCTTTCGCCACAGGCGCAACTCGAAAAATTACTTGGTCCCTGCAACTTAGGCGACCTTCGACCCACGCATCTACTACCCAAGATGCAGGAGAGCTGCACGGGATTGAACGTCAACGATGCATTAATGAAGATCCTGTGCCTTCAAAGGATGCCACAAAAAATCCGAGAACTTCTGAGCATAAGTGATGGAAGTTTGCAGAAATTGGCTGACAAAATGATGGGTTCCTCTCCGGTCACCACCGCAGCTGTTCATCAACTGGTCAAAATGCTGATTACGCCAATTTGAAGGAGGAAATAGAAGCTCTGACAGCTGAAATTCTACGCCTCAAGACTGAACGAACCAACACGAAATCGCAGCAGATCTTCATCTTCATCGTGATCCCGTGGCGACGACATTTGCTGGTACCATCGGAAGTCGAGCAGATCGTTGCAGTCGGTTCCCCACCTAAATCGGCGCAGGTGGGTACTGGTTTTGAAAGCCGCCGACTCGTAATTTTTGACAAATCAAGCCAGCATCGCGTCGTCATTGACACCGGCTCGGACGTGTCTATCATTCCAGCCACAAGACGTGATAAAGCAGGAGGAACAGTCCCATTTTCCTTGCACGCAGCGAATGGAACAAGAATACGTACTTACGGGAGTAAATTTATCTCTGTGGATCTCGGCCTACGACGATGCTTCAAGTGGCGCTTCCTTGTGGCGGATGTGAGCGTTGCCATAATTGGTGCGGATTTGCTGGCACATTTTGGATTACTGGTGAATCTGAAAAGTCGGCACTTGATTGACGAAACAACAAAATTACGAACTATTGGCTGTTTATCGGCAGTACCGCTCCATCGAATAACTGCAATAGATCTGCAATACCCATTTCGCGACATGCTTGCGTCGTACCGAGAGATATTAGTTATACCATCTGTTCAACAGGAAGTAAAGCGCGATGTTACACATCATATTGTTACTCGGGGACCACCGGTGGCTTCGAAGCCACGTCGTATGCATCCGGAGAAACTCCAAGCAGCAAGAGACGAATTCCAAACGATGTGCGAAATGGGCATTTGTCGGCTTTCGAGCAGTAGTTGGGCAACCCCTTTTCACTACGTTCCCAAGAAAAACGGTGAGTGGAGGTTCGTGGGCGACTACCGGTGCCTGAATAAAGCTACTGTTCCTGACAGGTACCCAGTACCTCACGTTCACGATCTTGTCAACCGATTCCAAGGTAACCACCGATCACTTTCCACTCACTTATGCTTTAACCACGAAGAACGGTATCTGCACGGCCAATCATACCAACTCAGCGACTGAGAATAATTGATTAGAGAATTTCTTTCCATACAAAATTTACTCAGATTTGGAAGAAACTACAGTTACTCATAAGCTATGAGTAACTGCAGTTTCTTCCAAATCTGAGTAAATTTTGTATGGAAAGAAAATTCTTTGAGTCAATTATTCTCAGTCGCTGAGTTGGTATGATTGGCCGTGTGGCATTTATAGCGGAGTTTACGAGTGATATTCACTATAGTCGCTATATTCATAGTCTGGCGGATAGAATTTCGATCTATCAAAAAGCGGAACCAATTCAATATATTTTAGACCAACAATTGAAAAGGTACTATCGACTTTTATAAACAAAACGTTGATTATTATTTCCTCGCCAATCAAACGCAAATTACCGGCATCATTGGACAGGGAAAACTTTCCTCAACGCAAAGATGGTGTTAGTTTGCGTAGGCGAGCCTTGAGTCACGAGAAAAGGGTTTCCGAAGTTTTGTTCGGAATAGCTGATATGCTCTTTTCTGTTGTTGGTCGTGATTTGCTCGATTGGTTCCGCTATTTGACAGCTCAATTGGTTCCCGAGATTCTATCCGCCAGACTATGCATATAGCGACTATAATATTCACCACATAAGTGGAAAGGATAACATTGTTGCAGATGCTCTTTCAAGAGTTGATGCTGTAACCGCCGGAATTGACTTTGATGTGATCGCCAAGGACCAACAAAATGATCAGCAACTAAAGAAACTTTTGTCGTCCAAAGATACTTCCTTGAAGCTCGAATCTCGAACATTCCCTCACTAGCGTTCACCGTTAGTTGAGGATGATCTTGAAACAAAGAAAAAATGAGTTAGTTAGGCTTCATCTACATATGTGATTCCTAATCTTCTATTCGTTGTTCCCTAGTTTGAAGTGGTTAAGACTAGGGTTCTGATGCATGGCCATTATCGGTGTTTGTTGCTAAGGAATTCAATTTTGACTGACAAAGGGGTGCGCCTTTAGAGGGTGTTTAACCGGACCTTTCAATTAGAGTCGGATCCTTGCGATAAATGCAAGAATGACAACTGTAAAAAAATCGAACACTTCATCATTTCTCTATAGTGATGGAGTAATACGTACTAATGCACTATTTAAACTAAGGACACGGGATATACTACAATAGATCAAATTACTGGTCACAGTGCTGAGTTTCTCAGGAATTCAAGGTCATCAAGGCAGCAACTTGTGAAACTTTTCAAGCCTATGTAAAAACAATTATGTCTAGAAAAGGATTATATGTCTATTACTGAATGAAAATATTGTATGTTTGGAATTAAAATCAGATTATTTTTCTTCAAAATTCTTTCACATCGCTTAGGGAACTCCTATTACACATAATGTACACAAACATAAAAGAACAAAACGATTATTATACTGGTACTTTCCACACGAATAGCACCACTCCACAGCGCAAACCACCGCACCGAACGAACTACAATCGAAAAAGATTTAAGCCATTCACGCGACAGATCTCCTACATACAACAGAGAAGACGCTACACAACATCGACGGGACGAGCAGCTACCTACATAATAGACATATCTCACACATTACGGAAGCGCAACATATTCGTTCACCTTAACCCCCCTCCCAATTCAACCAAACTTTACTTTCACAGAACAGTACATTCTCGGGAAAACTACAAAGGCCAACCAAAACAAACACTCACCTTCATCTTCCGAGTCCGACATGAACGTCTCGTGGATGGTTTCCGGCGCAACGATCTTGAACTTCTCGTCCACCGTTTGAGTGACGCTGGTTTCCGTGACGACCTTCAGCGTCTCCACAACGGTGATGTAGCCCAGCTTGTCGGCAATTGACAGTGCCGTCTGACCGTTGTTGGTCACCGCTTCCGGATTGGCTTTGTTCTTCAGCAGCAAGTTGATGATCAAAGTGTGACCCTGTTGGGCGGCTTGGTGCAGCGGCGTGTGACCGATGTTGGTCTTCATTTCGATGTTGGCATCGTTCTCCAGCAGGAACTTGACGATGTTGATTTGGCCAAAGTGGGCACCCACGTGCAGTGGGGTGAAGCCGGTTTTCGTTGTCGGTTCGATCTTTGCACCGTGATCGAGAAGGACCTTTGCGATATCGGTATGGTCTTCCTGGGCGCACAGATGGAGCGGAGTTAGACCATTCTTGGCGGCAAGGTTCGGGTCGGCGCCGTTTTCCAGCAGCAGCTGGGACATGTCACGGTGACCTTCCTGGGCACTGAGATGCAACGGTGCGAAACCGGTCTTGCTTTCGGCATTTGCGTCCGCCTTGTACTCGAGCAGCGTGTTGGCAATGTCCAGTTGGTTCTTCTTCGAAGCGATGTGCAGCGGTGTGTGGCCATTTTTGGCCGGGGAATAGGGGGAAGCACCTTTCTCCAGCAGCAGCAGGGCCACCTTTTGGTGATCGTAGTGACTAGCGACGTGTAGCGGAGTGACACCGTTCTTGCCCTGGACGTCCACTTGGGCACCGCGTTCCAGTAGCAGTTGTGCGCATTTGAGATTGCCGTACTTGGCCGCCAGGTGGAGAGGAGTGAACCCTTTCTTCGTAATTGCTTCCATGTTGGCTTTGTTGTCCAACAGGACGGCAGCGACGTCGTCTTGACCTTCTTTGGCAGCGATGTGCAGCGGGGTGTAGTTGTCCTTGGTGGCGGCATCGATCTTGGCACCATGCTGCAACAGGAGCATCACGATGTCGACGTTGCCGATTCTAAAAAAAACATGGGATGATTATCAGAATGTTTTGGCTTACAAAGGAATGCGAAAACTCACCTGGAGGCAACATGTAGCGGTGTTTGATCCTCCCGTGCCTGTGCATTAACGTAAGCACCGTTCCGTAGGAGAATCCGGATGATGTCGGCTTGCTTGGCTCGGGCAGCCAGATGCAGTGGGGTTTCTCCTCGCACCGTGGGAATATCGGGACTAGCATCGTGTTGCAACAGATAGATCACAATGTTCATGCAACCCATGAAACTGGCTACATGCAGCGGAGTAAGGCCGCTTTCCGTGGTAGCACTGATGGTAGCACCATGTTTTAACAGCAGTTCTACGACCTTGATGCGGTTCTTTTTGCAAGCAATGTGCAGTGGAGTGAATCCGTTGAGTGCCCTCGCGTTTGGATCGGCGGTGCGATCCAGCAGCAGTTTGGCCACTTTCACGTGACCACAGTGTGCCGCCACATGAAGAGCCGTTAGGTAGTCTATAGTGATGTCATCTACCGGTGATTTGTTGACCAGGAGAATTTTAGCGGCACTCACGTGCTCACCTTGTGCTGCCATATGTAGCGGAGCGAGGCCATTCTTGGTTTTGGCAATGATGTCGGCATTATGCTCCAGTAGCAGCTCAATGACCTGATCGTGACCGGATCGGGCCGCACAGTGCAACGGTGTCAGCCCATCCCGTGTTACGCTGTCGATTCGTGCCGAGTTCTTGATCAACATCGATACCATATTCAGCTTGCCCCACTTGCAGGCCACGTGCAGTGGGGTAATATTGTGCTTGGCGGTAAAATTAACATCGGCACCCTTCTCGATCAGCAGCTGGGCGACATTGACATTCCCATAGTGGGCGGCTATGTGCAGTGGCGTGAAGCCACTCTTGGACGACACGTCGGGATTGTGTTCGTTCTGTGTGAGAAAGGAGATAAATTGCAATTATCGTCAACCATTCACCACGCTGGTATAAATTGAATTAATAAAACTTGCACCTCTCGAGGCAGCAAGATAAGGAGAAGGAATTCCCAATCAGGGGTGTGTTCTTACCTCGAGCAACAGCGACGCCGCTTTGACGTCGTCCTTCTTGGCCGCTATGTGCAGAGCCGGTAACCGCACCTTGCCCCTGGTATCACTTTCAAGCAAAACCGCAACGACTTTGTCGTGACCTTGCTGCATTGCTACGGCCAGAGGTGTGAATCCGTCCTGCAAAAAAGAAAAAGATGGATTATGCATTCTACCTACATCTCTAAAGGAATGGGAATGGGGGAACCTACCTCCGTAGCCAGGGCCGGATTCGCTCCCTTTGCCAGCAGCAGGTTGACACATTCGTCGTGATTCTCCTGGGCGGCCATGTAGAGGGGCGTGAAGCCATTTTGGGATTGCACATTGACCGAGGCATTGTACTGCAGGAGGAGCTGGATGATTTCCTTTTGACCCGCCAGCGACGCTATGTGTAGCGCTGTGTTGCCCTTTTTCGTTGCATTGTCTACGTTGGCGCCCCGTTTGAGCAGTTCCTGAACGATTTCGAAGTGCCCGTCCTTGGCGGCGAGGTGCAGGGCGTTTAGACCGTTCTGAAAAGGGGAATGGGAATCGTTTGTTAGATTTGTCGTTTGGTTGCGATTACGAGATTCATTTGTTAGTCTTAGAAGTTGTTTTTCAAGTTACGGTACTTGGATCCAACATGGATTCTGGACAGTTGGGTATAACCAACAATCAATACGAAACTAACGATTTTAAATTGGCTCACTACTTGACTAGCCTATTTGTCCCAAGCAAACAATTAACGTACCCCATTCTAGTCGAAATTCTACTACTACACAATGTTTGTTTTGATTCGTTATGAAAGTTTGACAGACAAAACGAGGGGTTTGTGGATTTTCCTATGTTTCGAGGGGTGAATCGATTAGCTTGGGACCGAAGATAGTACCAGAGCTGAGCCAAAAAGTTGAGAACGGTATTTCGGGACCTTCTAGTCTTAGAGTTACCTCTATGGTATAACTATGTATAATGCGAACGAAATCCAGAGCGTTAGTCATTAATCATAAAATTACCATGATTAATGATAAATGAAATGATGAATGATAATGAATAATCATGATCTTTTTTAGAGATTAATCATTAATCATTAAGTTAATCATATGCCTCACATTATTCAATAGTTCCCAAATAATCATAATCGTTAGAAATGAACTAATGAATTAATAATCATTCATCAGTCAAGAAAATCCACCTTTCTGTTTAAAAAAGTTTTCTGCCATAATTCTATTTAAAATTCAAATTAATTTACCTTAGAATTACAGTGCAATTCACCTCAGAAAAATATTGAAATTCTGCTTAAATTTATTTCAGAGCTCTACTGCGAATAATTTTAAATGCTGCTCGAAACTATCATTGGAATTCACTTGAGCTTTTTTTCTCAGAATTCCTTCGTATTTATACCCGGAAAATTCAATTTCATAGTATTCTTTTCGGAATTACCTTTGAACCAACCCTAAGAAAACACTAAGATTTTCTCAGATTTTATTTGGAATTTGACTCAGAATTATTTTGAACTATCCTTAGAATGCTTTACCCTTTAAAGTTCTTCTTGTAATTTCCTTTGAATTATACATCAGAACCCCTTTGAAATTCTTCCTAGAACATATTAGGAATATTTATTCAAATTGGACCTTAAATCTTCCTCACAGTCATCATATAATTCTCCTCAGAACCACCTAAAGAACCACTCAGAATACTCATAGAAATCCACCTGGAGTTAAATGTTCCTTAAATTTTTTTCTACAATTGGCTTGAAAATCTCTTTAAGACTCTTTTAGAGAGCTATCTTAGAATTGTTCCCTGAAATACATTAATTCCCTTTCAATTTTCCAATGATTCCTTTCAAATTTTTCATGAAATTCCTATGAAATTTTTATAAAACTATTCTTAAAAATAGTGACTGAATAATCTTAAATAAACTTGCTGAATCTTTAAAACCCAATTTAGCCCAAATTCTTAGGATATTTCCAAGGTCCAGAATCTTATTTGTTCTCAGAAATAAGGTCCCATACAACGCTTTTGAATATTTTCAGACTCAGTCAACTGGCTCCGGAGATGTGGACGGAACAAGATACGAAAAAAAAACATGGATTTAGGGAACTAAGCCATGTTTCTCGACAGCCACTGAACTGAATTGGTCGCAACAACCACCAAATGAAAGGTTTCAAGGTCTCACAATTGGCTTAAAATTCTCGTCAAGACTCTTTTAGAGTTCTTCCTAGAACTACCTTAGATTTGTTCCCAAAAATTAGTTCCCTTTTAAATTTTTCATAAAATTCCTATGAAACTTTCATAAGAAAAAATATTTTTAAAATACTGACTGAATCTCAAACAAAGTGACTTAATCTTACAATGCAGTCCAAATTCCTAGGTCATTTCCAAGGTCCAGAATCTAATTTGTTCTCAGAAAGAAGGTCCAATACAGTGCTTTTGAATATTTTCAGAATTGGTCGAAGGTATGGACACAACAAGATCCGAAAAAGCATGGTTTTTGGGAACTAAGTCGTGTTTCTCGGCAGTCACTGAACTAAATTTGGTTCCAACCAGGGTTGCTTCCACTCACTTGCTATAAAACATTGTTTTTCGGAATTATGAAATCATTAGAAACGAAAATGATAACTAGTAAGTTTCAAGAAAAGATTGTAAACAAGGTGTTTGATACATAAAACCTGTCATTATTTCTTTCAGTGCGTCACAATCAGCGATTTTACGATTTTACGTTCACTCAGAGTGAGCGCTCACGAGTCATAAATTAACTGATTGTGGCGCACTCAAAGCGAAATTGGCAGGTTTTATGTGTCAAATACATGTATCTGTCAAGTACAAAATATCATTATAGCATCCAATGGATTCCATACATTCGAAAAACATGTTTCATAGCGGAGTGAGTGGAAGTAGCCCAGGTCCCAACAACTACCAATGAAAGGTTTCATGGCCTCTCAATTGGCTTGAACATCTTGTCAAGACTTTTTTAGAGTCCTTCCTAGATCTACCTTAGAATCGTTCCCAGAAATTAGTTCCCTTTAAATCTTCATAAAAATATTCTTAAGGGGAAGTTCACCGCTTCGAAAAAAATAATTACGTTTTGATTTTTCTAAAAATATTGAAAAAAAGTATCAAAAATCTAAAAAAATCAAATTTTTTCTAATTTTTTAAAGAAAATTCACGTGCAAAAACATGTTTTATAAGTCATTATGGCATAAAGTTGGACTCAAAAAACCACAAAACATCAACTTTTCGGTTTTTCTGAGAGTCCAATTTTTTTTCATGATGGGATAGAAAAAAATTTTTTGCATGTAATTTTTGACAAAAATCTAAGGAAGAAACTGATTTTCTTGGATTTTTGATAATTTTTCCCAATATTTTTAGAAAAATAAAAACGTACCGAAAATATTTTTTTATTTTTGGGCCGGTGAGCTTTCCCTTAATAATAGAGACTGAATCTTAAACAAAGTGACGGAATCTTTAAAATCCAATGCAGTCAAAATTCCTAGGATATTTCCAAGGTCCAGAATTTCATTTGTTTTAAGAAAAAAAGGTCACATACAATGCTTTTGAATAATTTAAGATTCAGTCAACTGGTTCCGGAGATACGGTTCCGTCCGATCCGAAAAAAAAACACGGGTTTGGGGAACTAAGTCATGGTTCTCGACAGCCACTGAACCGAATTGGACGCAACTACCCCCCTAATGAAAGGTTTCATGGTTCCATCGTTTGTATATCTTTGAAATCAGTCAAATGGTTCCGGAGATATGCACGGACTCAATAGACACCAAATAAAAAGTACCTTAAAACGGTTGATCATTGAAAATTAAATATAAAAAACAAACGTAGAAAAACAACTTTTGGTAAAAATTTTGAGCTTTTATTCTGCGCAATATTTTTGAAATTTTCTGTAAAATTTCAAACGTTGTTTTCTGTGTAAAAACTGCATAAAACAGCGTACTAAAAAAGATAAAAAATACAGGACTGTTACAAAGATATTCTTAATTTGATCTGTGAAATCCGCGATTTCTCAAAAGAAATCCACGACTTCAAATACTAATCCGCCACAAAACAAAAACTGTTTTCATTGCCTAAAAATAGCATTTGTTTACTACTACATGACATTTCAAGCTTATTGCTTATAGCATATTAGATTTTTGCCTGCCCTCAACTTAGTGTTCTTTAAAGTACTTTCACATTTTAATTGAGAGCTGTCTATGCCTGTACCATCCTATCATCCTATGCTCAAGGAAGTAGAGAAATTTTCCAACCCGAAAAATAAATAGATCGGAAGGGAATTGAACTCAGTAGCCTCCAGCATGGACTTGCTATGTAGCTGCGTCTTTACCGACTGAGCTAAAGGATTATCGTTTGTAAACTTTGATTTTTTTTTTAAATAACATTGTATCATCTTCAGTTATTTATGTATAGCATAAATTCTGAGTAATTAGTGAACATAACAAAACACCCGTATATTATAAGATTCTATTGAATAATACCGGTTTAGATTTGATGGAACATTATTCAAAAAAATTAATGCATTTTCATTTGAAATGCAAATTTTCCTGAAAATTAACCTTTGTCTCTGACGTATTTTGTTGTCCTAATTGTTGTCTAGTCTAGTTAATTTGGGTCTAGTTTTCTCAATATTTTACCGATTCACACCCAAACACCCTGCACATAATCGGGAAATTACCAGAGTTTCATAAGTTACACTTGTTGGTCACGTCGCGGTTGTGTATTTAAACGGATATTCCTTGGAGTCTGTCCAATCACAGTGGTTGAAAAGTCCATTTCGACGCTCTTAATTAATAGCACCATGGAGAGCGGATTTAGAGTAAGGACGTCTTGATGAGTTGATGAGTATGACATGCTTCATATTTTGAAGGCATGGGTTTTGTGATTAATCCCCCTAAAAGCGGAATGAAAAATTTATTTTTTCACAATGTCGAGATAAATGGTTGACGTCTTGAGCAAAGTTGTAGCAAAAATGATTACAAACAACTTTGCTGAAGACATAAAAGTCCTAAATTTCACTCAAATAGAGATAGAGAGCGTTGTTTGAGGATGGACCCCCAAAAACACGTTTTTCATCAAAACACATATTTTCTTTAATTTTAGGTCTTCATTATGTTCAACAAAGTTGATTGGTATACTAAAATACACATCGTTCTAGAACATACTATACCTGCATCATTTTAATAGGATGAGTTATTGATAAATGTTCTTCTATTTTCCTCATATTTTGGCCTTGCGTATCTTTCTTAGGTGCAAGAAGGTGCAGATGAAGTCAAATGCATCTAAAACTACATCAACAGAGCTTTCAAATGGTGGTAAATTTGTCCGTCCACGACCGTCTGCTGGGGAGTTGGGATCAAAACAAGTATCTATACTGACTCTACTCTGTTTTATGATATAACCAGTATAAAAGCGATAAACAATTTCTATATATCCACATATTTTTCTTGATTAAATTCTTTTTGTTCGATTGGTTTTGCATTTTTGATGTCAATATTTTGTATTGTATTCAATTATTATCATTATTATCAGAACCATAACCATTAATATAATCATTATCGTTTCCTTCAGCTTCTTCTGCTAGCAGCTGTTTAGCATCGCTCGACAATGGCTTCTCGTGCTTTTTAGGCCATTCACGAATGCTAGTAACCAATGGATCTGATAATAATAGGAGCCAGTTCAATAGATCACGATTTGTAAGCGATCTTGATTGCTTGCGGGTATTGAACTCTTGGTATCTGTTAAATAAAAGTTTTATTAATTTATTCGTTGTTATTTTGGTTAAATACATGTACCTCTTCCAATCCTGTTCTTAGCTGATCGATAAGATCAAGGAAATGTCCATTCACGGCTGATCCATGTATCAATATTTTATGAATACTATCTGGCAAGTAATACCAGGTTCGATAGGTTGGTGTTGATCGTCCTGCCACACTTTTTGCATTTTCAGAAGTAGACGGAAGCAAGTTTAAAATGTTTTCAGGAAGCGTGAACGGCTTACTGAAATACTCGGTGTGACACTTGACAACCATGCACGAGCATGTTTGGTCCAGAGCTTTTCAAAAAGGCCGCACATCGTTTTCATGGGTTTTCCGACATGTGCAGCCACATCCGGCATAATATTCACATTTATGGCATAACACCGGAGTACCTTCTTATAAACACAGTTGAATATTGATGATCAGCCTCCACTCGTTTTTGACCAGAGTGACAAGAGATCACGCTTATCAATTTCGACTTAAATTGAATCAAGAAAAAAAAAAGATCATTGGCCCTTGTTGTGATCTAACGATGAATTGAAAAATTTAAAATAAACTTAGCCCTACCAGATAAGGCCATTTTACTTCAAAGCCCTGCTCTCGTAGCTTCCTCTGCTGTCCGGTTTCTTTGGCAGAATTAGTCTCTCTCTCCTTCGCTTGGCTTCCGCAGTTCTTCTATCTTACATGCTTTCATATACTTTCACAATTCTCGATGAACATTTCAAATGGTCCTATCTGCTTTGATCGATTCTCTTCATCGACTTTCTCTTTTGATAACCACTGCTATGCAAACAGATTTCGCGCTAATTTTACAACATAGTTTGATAAAGGAGATTCTTATCTAGCATCCAAAACGTCAAATACAATAGCGAAAGGTTTTGCAGCTGAGTTATTAACGGAAGAGAAAGTCGATGAAGAGAATCGATCAATGCAGTTAGAACCTTTTGAAATGTTTATCTAGAATTGCTGCACGTTTGATGAAAAACAGTGATGAGCACTATGGAAAAACACTTATCGACTACAAGTTTAACTGAATTTGACAGTTTTTTATTTCGTTCTTGATGCTTCAGTTTTGCCTTCTGGGCAACTTTTGAAAAGAAAATGTGCCGTTCTTGAATTTGATAAGCTCTGAGAAGTGGGAAATTTGTTTATTGAGGGGGTTATTATGGAAACGAATTTATTACGCGGTATAAAACACAGCATCCCCTTGTTGTTGACATGACTTCTATAAAGCCTATCAAAGAGTGTTTGTTTTGATCATAACTCTCCAGCAGACGGTCGTAGACGGACAAGTTTACCACCATTTGAAAGCTCTTTTAATGTAATTTTGGATGCTTTTGACTTCATCTGCAACTACTTGCACCTAAGAAAGAAGCGCAAGTCCAAAATATGAGGAAAATAGAAGAAAATTTATCAATAACTCATCCTATTAAAATTATGCAGGTATAGTATGTTTTAAAAAGATGTGTATTTTAGTATACCAATCAAAGAAAATATGTGTTTTGATGAAAAACGTGTCTTTGGGGGTCCATCCTCAAACAACGCTCCCTATCTCGATTTGAGTGAAATTTAGGACTTATATGTCTTCAGTAAAGTTGTTTGTAACCATTTTTGCTACAACTTTGCTGAAGACGTCAATCATTTATCTCGACATTGTGAAAAAATAAATTTTTCATTCCACTTTTAGGGGGATTAATCACAAAACCCATGCCTTAAAAATATGAAAAATGTCATACTCATCAACTTTGCTCAAGACGTCCTTACTCCAAATCCGCTCTCCACGGTGCTATTAATTAAGAGCGTCAAAATGGACTTTTCAACCACTGTGCAAATGGTGAGACATTTTAATGATATTTTTTTTTATTTCTAATATGAACCTAGCACTTTTCGTTGTCAAATCATAACCGAATAATATATATATATATATGACTTTTTGGATCATGCACGACTTATTACTATGTATACCGGAAATTATAGGTTTTCCAAATCGTCCAGGACATCAGTTAATTTGTTCTACTAGATCAACCAAGACTACAACAATGCCTGTAGTATCGAAAAATGTCCAATCAGATTCAAAGAGTATATGTGGATCATGCATGATCTATTTCCGAGTAATCCAGATGTTCAAGGTTCTTCAAATCGTCCTGGAGTTCAGATAATTTGATCTATTAGATCATCCGAGATTGGGACAATGTCTTTAGTATCGAAATATTTCATTCCAGACAGATGCACACTGTCTATGTGGATCATGCATGAACTATTGTCATGTATACCAGATGTTTTAAGTTCTCCAAATCGTTCTGGGCCTCTTAGTCTAGTCAGTAAAGGCACTATATTGCCAAGGCGGAGGCGGTGGGTTTAATTCCCGGTCCGGTCGAAGGAATCTTTCGGGCTGGAAATTTTCTCGACTTTCCTGGGCATGGAGTAGCATTGTGCTTGCCACATAATATACGAATTCATGCATTGGCATTGGCATCGAAAGCTCTCAATTAATACCTGTAGAAGTGCATTTAGAACACTTAGTTGAGAGCACGCAATAAGCTAATATGTACTAAGCAATAAGCTTTAAATGTGAATAAGAAGAAGAAGAAATCGTTCTGGAGTTCAGATGATTTATTCTACTAGATCAACCATGGCTGGGATAAAGTCTGTAGTATCGAAATATGTTCAAACAGATTCATAGTGTCTATATGGCTAATGATTAATTATTTCCACGTATACCAGATGACTAAGATAATATCTGTAGTATCGAAATATCGATTTGGAAATCCTGGAACATTTGGCATACACGGTAATAGGTTGGCATGATCCACATAGACACTGTACATTTGTTTGGGCATATTTCGATACTACAGATATTGAATTAGCCTTGGGTGATCTAGTAGAAAAATAATGTGATCTCCAGAATGATTTCAGAACCTATAACATCTTGTATACGTAGCAATAGGTCGGACACGATCCACGAATCTGTTTGGACATATTTCGATACTACAGCCATTATTGCAGTCTTGGTTGAGATAGTAGAACAAATCAACTGAACTTCAGGACGATTTGGAGAACCTAGAATATCCGGTTTACATGGAAATTTTACTCGCATATATACGATTCGTTTATGATTTGACAACGAAAAATGCTATGTTCATATTCGAAATAAGGAAAATGTCTCACATAGGATAGACCTCAGGGAATTTCCGTGTAAATCCGGTGTGACTTATGGAATTGAGATCATTTCTCGATTATTTGCAGGATGTTTGGTTTGAACCGGTAAAAAATCGAGAGCCAAATGAACAACAACATTGATGACAGCAAAATAATCCGGGACGGATTTTTTGTGACATCAGTCCCTTCACGATTTTCGCGACATCATTTAATGTTTCCGCGATTTTCGCGACTGAAAGTTTAAATCCACGACAAATCCGTTGTTGTAACAGCCCTGGAATTGCTCAATAACCACCAAAAATGTTGTTGAAAATGTTGACATGAAAGTATTGATGGAAATATTGACGAAACTACGGTCGTGTGGGTTGCAGTGCACTGTAGGGTTTAAGATTTTTATGTTTCCAATGTAAGCAAATTAAAAACATTGGAGATGTATTACCGCGCAGTCATAAAAATCCCTGAATTTTACGCTAAAAAAGGGCTCAGTTCCCATCCAAGGACCAAACAACTTAACACTAGTACACATTGAAGTAGACTTACCGCATTGCATGTATTTATATCTGTGACCTGCCCGGTCTCGAGGTACTCTATCAGTTTCTGTAGATCGCCGGCCCTGGCTGCTCTGAGGAAAGCTGTGTTTGTGTCATTCTGGAAGAAAGAGAAAGGAAACGAGAAGGGATGGTATAATAGCGAACGGCAAAAAAAAACAAAACTGAATTAAAGAGCATCCAGCGAGATCATTCGAGAGCATGTCCAATTAAAAATTTCAACATGTTAAAGTCAATGGGGCAAGTGGGGAGAATGCTCGTGGTATGATGTTTATTTCTCGTCGATAAACATAATAAACCTGCTTTTCTCAGCGGAATAACCTTGGATTAATCCGAAGCTTATTAATTAACGATATTACCCTTCTTAATGCCATTTCTGGAATTTTCTCATATGACCATTTGTTTGAAATCTTATTTATCTGCAAATTGCTGCATTTCTAGAGCACTGCAGCTCGCTTATTAAATTCGATCCCATAAATCACCATTTAGTGTCATAAATTTCCTTTTAACAGCCTCAAGCGTCTTTGCATGATTCGGGAATGCAGTATTTTTCCTGTCCACAACCAGAAACATGCATGTACAAGAAGAGGGAGAACAATCAGATGACCTCTCTGTCTCTCTCTCTCTCTCTCTCTCTGCTTTTTTTAAAAGGGCTCACGCGGTCGATGACGCAATGCACCCATCAGATCAGGCAGACAGACAGACAGAGTCCAGCTTGGGATGGCTTTCGTATGATCCCCCCCGAAAAAAAGGAATAACGATTACTTATTTCACTTAACTCGCCTGGCGAGTAAAACAGAACCAGAGCATCGAGGCCGAGGGGTCAAACTCGTTAAAAATAAAGATTAAACCGCGGTGCCGGTGCGACTATCCTCATATAAAAATGTAAGACCATGGCCCCGAGGAACGCACCATCCACCGAGCGCCGAGACCGAGATATAAATGTTTAATAAAATACCAGTTTTATCTCGATCGGCTCACTTTCTTTGACTTGGTTCTGGCGGCGAAGCTTATCGATGGGGGAAGGTCGCTATCTCGTCGATTCGTGTATGTTTGTTTTGTTATGCCGATATGACTTCATAAGGCAAATACGAAATGTGTATACTTTATATGGATGTAGCGCACCTAGACCTGTTGGTTAAACATTAATTGCAGGTACTGTTTGCATTACGTAATTACCGTATGCGATAAAAGTGCAGGGAAACAGTTGACGTCATTCGGTTGGAATTGACAACGTCTTACCCTAAATACGGTTTACTTTACTCAGGTGCATACCACCCTTCATATTGCCCATTGCAACATAATTTCAACTTCGCAAACGCTTCCGTTTTTTTCTGCTTCGCATTCGCGCATTTTTCATCACACCTGTCACCGGCTACTGGCAGCTACCGCCGGTGGCACAGATCGACATGAACAGGTGCAGCCAATGTGTGATTTCAGTGATTCACACTTGCACAAAACTAACCGCGAAAGCACTCGGTTTCGTTCAGACAATTTCATGACGTTGTGGGAAAATCTTTTAAATCGTGATGCTCGGTTAAACGTGATGCGCACACAATTATAACACTTGAGCCGATTTATTTACGACCAAGAACTTCAAGAGCGTCCATGATGTTTGTTGTAGCTGTTGAAGAACCCATCAAAGTCGTCAAAGCCCTCGCCGTCGTCAAAATATGATTATTGTGCAACTTTCTCAGCCCGTTGGCTATTGGGCATTGTCTTGCATTTCAACTTGAGCTGCAGTGCTTAAGAAGAACATAAATGCAATGTAAGCACATTTTCCTACAGCAAACAAAAGGAACGCAAATCAAGTGCAATATGGGACTTCAATTGGATTGGACTCTTGAAACGATTAAAATTCTTTGCTCCAAAACATGGGAAGATTATGCCGCGGGGTCAAAGCATGGCCGAAAAAAATCGGGTTAGATTTTCCCGATGATTTTTTTTTTCTCAAGTGGACACTATGCCGTCAGGGGAAATTTCCATGCGATCATCTTGCTACAACTGGCGTCAGGGAGTGTGTATAAACATCAACATTTTCGAACGCTAGAATGCGGGGGAGGCTATTGGCATAAATTTATTATAAAATTGCCAGACGATCGGATGTTTAATTATAAACTGTTCTGTGGTCTGGATTTTTCCGGGAAAATGCGTTGTTGAAATCGAAAAATATTCATCACTTGTTCCGTCTGGATCAATAGCAACGTTTCTCTTTGTCCCCAGATACTGATTTTTTTAAATGCCTATTTATTTTAAAGATAAAAATATGAGATCGTGAAATTGGTAAATTTCAGAATTTTTAAGATTTCGTACTTTGAATAATGTTGGTGTTTTTGGGATTACTTTTTTATATTAGCCAGTTTCAGGTATTTTATGGAACTTTGTGCAAGTTTTTATCACTAATATTTTATTCAACTAAGTAGCCAAATAGAGGAAATGGATGGAATGTCGGTTTAAATGCTCCTAATTTGGGCCCAAACATAAATTCAGCAATCGATTAAATTTTCAATAACGACAAAAAATATCCATTAGTACCGTCCCAATGACGCGTTTATCTAGATAAAATTGATAAATAGCAGATTTTAAGCGATGGGCACAATCTTAGATCCAAAGGCCAACATTAGAGCCATTTCCCCTAGATCACGTTTTATGCACACAAGTTACACAATTCAATATTGGGTTTATTCAAGGTAGTTGGACTCACATTAAAGTTGCGTCGCGTGCATCGATGATCTAAGCAGCTATCAATATCTTTGACATAGAAATTATAAAGTAAGGGACTTAAACATAAACCTTGGGGTAAGCCTATGTAGCTAATTCTATAGGTTGTCAGTTGACTTAGATTGAAGGTCATTTGTTTTTCTGACAGCAAATTTATACAATTCAGGTAATCCACTACTGTGCAAATTGTCTGACAGTATTTCTAAGGAAACAGAATCAAATGCGCCCTTAATATCCAAAAAGACTGAAGCCAATTGCTTCTTGTGCGCAAAGGCCAGTTGAATATAAAATGAAAACATCACTAACAATCGTTTGTTTCTTTACTCTTATTGAAACCAAATTGTGTATTTGAAAGTAGAATGTTTGATTCAACCCAATGGTCAAGTCTAGATAGGATCATTTTCTTTCTAATAATTTCCTCAGGCATGATAAAATAGAGATCGGACGGTAAGAATTGTGATCAGACGCTGGTTTTCCAGGCTTTCGAATAGCCATTACATTAACCTGTCTCCATGCTGGTGGAACTATATTGAATTCCATAAATGAATTATACAGGTTAAGTAATCGTCTTTTAGCGATATCGGGGAGGTTTTTTAGAAGGTCGAATTTGATCATATCGCTTTTCGGAGCAGTGCCATTGAAAATTCCAGCATTGTGAATGGTTCATCCAGAGAACCGTTAGTTTGGGCTGTAGCAGAGTCTGGACAGACCTTTTTAGCGAAGTTGAATATCCATTTAGAGGAGTATTCTTCAATCTCATTGGAGGATGAGCGGTTTCGCATATAGCGAGCCTTTTTCCATAGCGTTGTCATCGAGGTTTCTCGAGAAAGTCCCTCGATAAAAGTACGCCAGTAATTTCGTTTCTTTGCTTTTAGTAAGTTTTTAAGCTTTTTTTTCAAGCTTTAGATACTTTTCAAAAAGCTCAGATCTTTCATGTCTGCGATAATCTTTAGAGGCATCGGATTTCTCAAGATACAACTTTGTGCATTCGTCATCCCATCCAGGGGTGGCGGGTCTTCTTTTGAAGGATGCACTTGGAACACGTCGTTTCTGAGCTTCAAATACGCTTTTGTAGATTAGTTCGGTAAACAAACGATACTCGTCCAATGGTGGTTGAGGATCGGTAGAATCAATACCAACAGTTACAGCCGATAAAATTTTTTGCCAATCAATGTTCATCGTGAGGTCAAAAGGAACTTGAATTGACTGATCTGTTTTTAGACGACCACTTTTGATTGAAATAATAATTGGTAATTGATCACTATCATGGGGATCATTGATAAGCTTCCACAGACAATCTAATGATAGTGAGTTAGAGCACAAAGATATGTCAAGACGGCTCTCTCGAGCAGGAGGTTTTTCCATACGTGTTGCTTCACCAATGTTCAAGATAGTCAAGTTGAAATCGTCGCACAAATCATCGCTCTATTGTCATCGTACTGGAGATGGGAAAATAGTAACTGAACTCCAAAGCTGACGGTGGTTAATGGAAGTCCTTGGAGGGACATATACGGAAGCTATGCAAAGATCTTTGTTCTTCACATTTATTTGGCAAGCGACAATTTCAATGCCTGAAATTATTGGGATTGAGATTTTATAGAAGGAGCAACACTTTTTGATCCCCAAAAGTACGCCACCATATGAATCATCTCGGTCCAGGCGGATAATGTTAAAATCGTGGAAGTTTAGTTCATCTTCAGAAGAAAGCCAAGTTTCACAGAGTGCAAATATATCACAATCATAATTGTGAATCAAATACTTGAACGAGTCTAATTTAGGTATTAAACTACGACAGTTCCATTGTAATAAAGTGATCATATCTAGATCCTCACACGACGAATTATCCATAGAAAGATATCAATTATAATACCGAAAACGGATACTACTAGGAACATAGTAGATGAGTGTTATCATGACTTAGCTCATAGAATGAAGAAGGCAGCTTCAAGAACTCTAAGAATCTCCAAGGAACCTAGCACTCCAAATGAAAAAAAAGCATTATATAGTCTAAGGGTAGCAATTAAAAATTCTAATAAGCATCCAGATATGATGAATTATAAATACAGGTTAGACAACCTTAGGCAGGAATACAGTCAAGCTGTCAAGAAGCATAATGAAAAGGAAATAATGATCTTCTTTAAAAATTTAAATGACTTTGATGTAAGACAAAGGTTAAGAAAAACAAATAATTATTTGAAAGGATTTGTAAAGCATAACAGGAGAAAGGTTGCAAAGATAACTGCAAAGACTTGAGAAAATATATTGATGGAAAGTGAAGGTTCACAGAACATGATCAAGTACCACTTCCAAATCCACAGACCAGTGATGAAATAAGAAGTAGGGGAAATGGATGTAATGTCGGCCTAAATGACCCTAATT